TTTCTAGTAGTCTGAATACTTTTAGTGGATAATGCTTTTCGTTTATTATACCGGTCACCATGACCAATCAGACCGCCGCCTTCAGCTAACCACTGTTCCAAAGCTGGGGTAACACCACCAGTCACAAGATGACGTATTAGTGTCATTGAATTACGATCAAAATATGCTGTACTTGCCAACACATCAAGAACAGAATTTGTGAATGCTATGCCTTTAGCAAATGGTGCAGTTAATGAAGCCGCGATCTGTAATCCACCTGAATGATCTGGATCTAAGTAGTGTATGTTATTGTCTGTCATTAATTCTGTAATCAATGGAATCTCTGAACCGCTCCGACGTTTATGAACATTATGTACAAATGCTTTATGACGATGATAAGGAGAAAATTGCATTGCTCTAATATTCAATGTACACAAGATCACCTCCTTATCCAACATATATGGATCGTCAACCTTCACTGTACCTCTTGATCCTAATATAACGCAAACTGATGAATATTGTATGCGTGCAGCTCGTAGATCAGCTCTAGATAATGCACTACCGGCAAGTGTGTAAACTTTTGGGAAATTCGCTATATTCGACCACTCTCTTTGTAGAAATTTTATATCACCTAGAAACAGAATAGTTCTTAATTGGTTAGGATGGAAATTGCTTGCTCTTAATGGCATAACAAATGAATGCAGACCTAGCAGTGGAGCATCTGGTTCAGCTAGAATGCACACTAGAATGTGATTGTATAGATCATGTGATTGTTTATGAGATGAATTTGTGGTAATTAGATTATCTTCAAATCCTTGCCGATCACAATAATAATACATACCTAGTATAAGAAAGACAGGAAGAAATTAACACAAGGGAGAATGTTAGAAAATATTCATATCAGTCATTATTTATTGAACCAGATATTATCATCAATACTGAATACTCTGATAATTAAAAGTAACAGTTGAACATGTGTAGAAGTGAAATTCCAAAAAATACATTACTTCCCATTCTCTGATTAATAGATGTGTACATTTTAACATATAGATGTTGTTATTCAGTCTTTAACTCGTAGTTTACTCTCCACAGACTTATCAGTTACGTACCAGGCGAACGAGTTACTGGATTTCTCTCTTTTATTCACTAGGATTACTGGTTGATACAAAAGTGGTACGCTTTGCACCTGATGAATTTCAATACATAACTAACTGGTCATCCTCTTGTGATTTGTGGAATCCCTATGCAAATACTTCAACATTTTACTTTCAATCCTCTAATCCTTTTCTAACTACCAATAAGAGCGAAATTGAGAACACGGATTTTGACTGTGATTGGGATTTGTTAGTTGAGTTCCATGTTGATTGTTGTGCTAAGAAGAGACGCATCTGAACAATCGACCGACTGTTTCAATTCCTTGCAAACACTTGTCATCATGGTTTGGTATTATTTTACAGCGGTTACCATGGCACTCAATCATTGAGATAAAAATTATGAATATTCAGCACGTGAAATTTTGAAACCTATTCGATCGTGAGAAAGTGATTCAATTTAATAGGACTGAAACGACCTGAATAAAATGCATGAGGCAATAGAATTGATCTCGTATGATAGCGACTACAATAGTTTTTTTGCAATTCCATGAGAATGTACATTGACGTCACATATTGTTTAAGGAATGGCTGGGAAATTTATGTTGCTTGAAATGTCAGTTACATCTGAATACGTTCTCAATGTCACTTATATAAATCTAACATCACTATAACAATCATCAATATACAAGTGAACGAATTATGTATTGGGTTCACAGAGATGAATTGTTTAAATATACTTAATTGTATTAATGATTTAATGAAACATATATAGGCTAGTAATTAGTGATTTATGCTTCTAATGCTTTTGTTGTCCGTTCAAAAACTTATTTACCTGTAATATCAAATTCATAATTGAATTGATCTGTATGAGTTTTTAAATGAACCTCTGTATCACTTGATCTTCTAGGTCGATTTTCATTGATATCTGAATAATGTTCTTCTGTATCATAAGCTGAATGTAAACTATTTCTACTTGATAATGTTTTAGATTTTGTATGAGATTCATTGAGATCTTTATCTGTTATGACAGCCATATCTTTATCTGTTTGACTTATATGTTTATTATGTAATAATAATGATGATGATGATGATACATTTGGTATCGTTTCAGATTCTTCTCTTAATTCTGGTATTATTAATGATGCTTTTAAATTATTAGTTATTTGTTGATTCGGTATAGAATATGGATCTTTTTTAGATTTACATAATCTGCTTAGTTTTAAATGGGAATTAGATTTATGTAATTTTTGTTGACATGTACAAGACTTAATGTTAGATGGTGATAAATTATCCATATGACAAGTTGTACAATAATATGAAACTTTATTTGCATTCTCTTGTGAATCACATATAAAGAAACCAATAGTTCCTTGATTAATAATAACATTTTGATCTAGAGTTGGTGAAACAGCTAAATAGTATTTAGTATTATTGACATTTTCATCATCATCATCATCATCGTCAACGTCGTCGTCGTCGTCATCATCATCATCATCGTTATCATCATGTGAGTTATTATTATCAATGTTACTATGATTATTATTGTTGTTAAGTGAATTTTTCGATATTTTATTTAATGATTGTCTATCTGTAGTTTTATTCATTTTAGCTACAACAGCAATTAATAAAAGATCTAAATATTTTCGACAAATAATAGCCGCTTCAGTAAATTGTAAACCATTAAATGTTATAGAAAATTTAGCTGAATATATTTCCATACTAGCACCATGTAAATAATTATGAACCCAATTATTTGAATCTAATAATAATAATGATGATTCTGGATCCAATATTGTAGATGTGATAGGATCCATAGAATGTTGTATTGATGGAATTGTATTATGTATCCTTTTGAATTGTTCATTTTGATTTGGTTTAAATAATGATTTAATTATATTTGGTAATTGAATAAACCATTTTGTTTTTCTTCTTTCTTTATTAAATGAAAGTGGAGTAGATGATGTTTGAGATTGATTTAAAACGACTTTAGAATATGGATTTGAATTGAAATGATGTATACTTTTTGAATGATGATATGAATTCATATAATTTTTTGTAAATTTTGCCGCTTCTTTTAATCCTTTTATAGAATGCATTGTAAATAAATTAGTTACTAAGGTTGAAAATCCTGGAGCTATACAACTTTGTGCTAAAAAACCTAATTTTAATTCACTAAAACAAATAATCTCATCACCACATTCCCAATTCCAATATGGACTATTTAATAGATAAGCCTTGTAGTAAGAATAGAAAAATAGAAGAAGAAATAAAAGGATTTTGATTATTATTATTATTATTATTATTATTATTATCAGATTCAAATTAAATGTCTTAGATACATTGTAACTTTTATGAGATATACTACAAGAGTGTATAAAGTGTGTAAAGTAGATTATTTACTTTAACACATAGATATTGGTACAAAGGGCACCAAATACATATCCGCCGCACAAATCTCATTTAATATGTGTGAGGGCTGTGATACTGTCCGGGTGCCCAAACCGAAGCAGGTGGTTTTCTTAGGGGGCCACACCTGGAGCCTTTGACCTGAAAGTCTAATCCACAAGGCAGTGGAGCGACGTAAGGAGATGCAGTCTCATGGTAACCGGTGACCAACGATTGGTTCATACGCCATTTGTTTCTTCAGGATCCTGGAGCTCATGTGAACCATTGGTTTGGAATTAGTGTTTTCCAACTCCCCTAGATGAATCTTCAATATCCACCAACCTGGTTAAAGCTCAAGGCATCCTCTTTTCATCCTCTCAAGTTCGTAAACAACACCTGTGGTGCGAGAAGCCAGTGAGTAGGACTTCCCTGACAGAGGCTATATACGCGTGGCCATGTGAGAGTATTTTGAGAGGGAGAGAGGATTCTCCCCGTACCAGGGCATTTAGGGGGCGCAAAGTAGATTAAAACTGTAGTACTGAGTCAAACATTATCAATATAGTAATTTCTAATTATTAACACAAAATTCGTTAAATACTCTCATTTATCTTTATTTTTTAGATATATTTGACGAGAGTACTTATGTAAAGGGCCTAAAACTCTTACAACTGTTAAGATAAAACTTACTGTACCACAATATATATTGAGAACGAGATTCTTGTGTAAGGCAAAATCTATTAACTCCTAATTCACACTCTGATACAAAGTGTATTCAAAACAGAAATCATCAACTATCTATATGTTTTCTGTTTTTGAACCTAAACTCACCAACGTCAAGTTAATATTTTCATTACAATTACCATTAATAAATCATCCATTTTCATATGAGATCGCCAGATAGTAGCCTCGTATAGCCGATTTCTTGATCTTTCAAAGAGTTGACCAACATTCATTGTAGGGTTACTGATAAACCTTTTATAACACTATAAGCAAAGATGGATAGTGACTAGGCAGTCCCATTTGGGACTCATCAGCTGGATTTACCTGCATCTCAGAGTTGATGTTCACCTTGGGACTCGAATCCACTATCGTTTGCTTCAAACGCTATCGCGTTATCCACTTAGCTACTGAGTCCTGATAGCCACTTGCTTGTGCAATAGAATGAAGTTTTTAATTCACTTGGTGTTGTTTACTTGAATCTTCCCATTGATGGTTAGGACTGTAAATGATCAATCTTTTATTGGCATATATGAATACTGTGTGTATTGACTCGATATTGCCTTAATTCACAAGCTTTATAACACGATTTATAATCTTATTAAATAATTTTAGAAGGAAACTAATTGATCATATTCCGTTGAGAGAAATCACAAATCTCAAAGAATCATAAACCATACACAACAGCATCGTACACATTCCATTCTTCTTACCTTTTTTTAAGAAACTTTCTTAAATTAAAAAATTAGTGTCGATCAAGGTCATAGAAACAATTTTACTCAAAAAATGTACCTTGTGTGTGTGTGTGTGTGTGTGGAAAACCATTTAACTTTTCAGAACATATTGATTATATGAAATATTACTGGTTTCTTTTAGTCTCATAGTCATTTATCAAAAGTGGATTGTCTTGAACATAAGCAAACCTTAAAATACTTTTAAAATGTGAATTCAATGTTGACAATAAAAGTGAAACAGTCAAGATGTTTAAATTCACTAGGTGTTGTTTTGCTCGAATCTCCCCATTGATGGTTAGAACTGCAACTGATCAGTCGTCCTGGGGTGAACATCAACTCGGATGCAGGCACATCAGCTGACCAGTCCCAAATGGGACGAAACTTGCGTTCTGGATTCCATCTTTGCTTAAATAGCCAAGATGGTTTCTTAAGAAGATTGTTCTTAAAATTAAACATGTATATTAACACTTTACAGAAGTTGATTGTGATAAAATGAATTGCAAAAGCGATGTCTCTGGTCATTGGTATGTAATCACTTGACTGATTGATATAAATGACTTAAACTTGTTAGTGGACGTTTTGACTTTATTTCGGGTGAAATGAACGGGATCTTGAATAAAGCAAATCAGTTTATTGTATTAAGCAAATAGCATACTGAATTCGTAAAATATGAAAATAATATATTGAATACACCTTTAACACATCTTCCTTGGGTTGGTTCTTACAAGCCTCATCGTTATTCCATTCTTCTTGCCGCTCAAACTACTTCTGCCTGTCTTCTTCTCCTTATGTTCCTCTTCTGTCACTAAAATTCCTACTTCTAATTCTTCATACCTTCTACTAGCCATCGTTCCGCTCGCGGTACCACCGTCTCTGTCATAGTCTGTGCTTCGTTCCCCATTGAAATGTCGAGCCTGTGGGTGTGTTGACCTCAGTAGCTCTGTAGACACGCCGGACCATCTAGATCCGATATCCAACCAGTACCCGTGACGTTTCACGTCTCCTTTCCGTCGACAGCGACTGCTACGTCTAACTCCACCTCACCAGACCAATACACTCGACGTCTTCTATCCGAGCCAGATCTTTTCAAGTGACGACTCCCCCGTCGGCCCACCAATGCACTCGCAGAACTATCCACCCTCCACCTCCCCGTGGGCAGCGCCACCAGATACAAAACACGACATTAAGCAGGAATTATGTATGTTTCCTGCGAGAAGTTGAAAAGCGTTAGCATGGTACATATATACAGCTTCCAATCGTCCATTTGATTCTTCTGGTTTGTTCTGCAATCTGAATCGTCTTCTCGAGTGACCTCCAAGTGTTCTGTTAACGCCGTGCTTTCGGTGCACCAAAGCTCTCCACACTGTTTAACAATTGTTGCAACTTTGACACCACGTTCCGCTACACACTACTTACAAACATAATTGTGAGTAGCGTGCGCGACACTGATTTGGGGTATGTATAATTGTTTGAAACTAGAGATTAATTGGGAGTTCCTCACAGTAAAGATTCTATTAAAATTCCGAAACTATGTACATCTCATTTTTGTACTGAGGATTCAATTTTAGGAAAATAAATGATCAAAACTTTGTTTCTATGGAAATAATGTAGACTGGTATATTGAGACTAAATAGAATATCTCAAATGAATATTCATAAATGATTTACAACCATGAAATTTCAAGTTGAATCGTTAAACTGCTGATAGTTTTCTATTAATTTTGAACTAAATAGGTTGAATAAACCTGCGGATGTGGTTAATATATTTCCCTTAATGAAAAACAAAGCAACTGGCGTATGTATATTGAATTAAATAAAAAAGATATTCTAGTCTTTGTGTATTAGCGAGACGACTTTTTATGTGGGAATGTGATTCTTGCGTTGGATATGAAGAAACTCTCTCTTGTAAAGTTTCTAGCCACTATTTGAAATCATTTTAGTCATAGCGTTGTCCCCAAATTTCAGATTTACTAGAATGATATCTTCAGAATATTTGATATTTCCATAATAACATCACGAACTAGTTGTGAATGGGTATTGCTGAGGAGTCGCATACCAGGACGAATCTCCCGGTTTGTGTTCCAATGTTTTCGATGAATGTCTAGCTCAGATCAGTTCGTGATTGAAACTAAGAAAATTCTATAATCTTCACAAACTTTCAATTACTTTTCTGTTTCACGACAACGACGGTAACAAAGCTTTGATGATTAGCTATTTTTTCAAACTATTTTAGTTTTCTGATTTTCAGAGTTATAATTATTTCTTAAATACGACAGATAAAGATAGAAATTATCAGATTGGGGGCTTTTGTGGAGACTGTAGTAATTTGGTAGTTGAATTCATGAGTCGATTAAAACTAGACCATTAGGATGGAATGGGCGTCCAATGCTTTCAGGTTTTCCATGATGATCTAACTTCAATCGACTTATGAATTCAACTATTAAAGATTGAAATGTTGAGTTCGATTCGCGCCACATCTTAAATCTTATAAACAGATGGAGTAAATTTAATGTCAAATGGGGGTGGTCTTAAAATTTATGTAAACAGAGAGTTGTTTTTTAACTTTCATTTGAAATTACCCGTTGTTTCACAAGCTCTTTCGGTAGATCCTAATATTACAGTTATATGGTCATTATTATACGAACAACTGGTTGATCAGTTATTAATGAACTGTAGTTGAATAAGTACGTGCATTGTTCCAAGTCTACCTACTAAACTTAATGTACACAGATGACTTTCATAATTTCCTGTTAACTCGTCCAACCGAATGCTCCATCAAACAAAAGATAAACCAAATCCATACTGCAAGTGGATGACTAGCAGCTATTTAAAGAATAAAATAACATATGGACAATAACAACCTTAAACAATGTATATCAGTAAATTAGAGGTAGAAATAGTCATTTCAATGTAAATACTGCTTCAACAAAGTTGACTTTGATATAACGGAATATGTTTTGTGCAGCAGAATTTAGTTCTACCAGTTTGAGAATAGCCAGAAAAAACTGAGAACCAATATTTTATCCTACTTGTTTAATTTAAGTAGTGTGAATTCGCAAGCAAAATTAAACAATTGTTTTACCTTATTTTCAGTTTGAAGCAATTGAACAATAATTCTGATATGACTAGCAAAATTCTTTACAGCTATAACACGCATGATATTTGCTGCATCAGTCTGATATGGATCTTTGGTTGTTGCAGAGGCTAATATTAGGCATGCATCAGCACTTTCCATCTTGACACGTTGAAGATCATTATGATCCATGACAGTACCCTTTCAAGTAAAGAAGAAACAGAAGATTTGATTATAGTAACATGACAGAGAAACAGCTAACAGCCAATAGACACGTGAAAGTCATGTAGAATTCGCTTGAGGAAACGGTACAGTCTATAAAAAATTAAGTTTATCGGTAAAATGTAAGTCAGTTTATGAAAACCCATTGTAAACTTCGATATCACTCATTTTAAGAAAAGTCGTGTGAAGTCGTAGCTACACAGTGCTGTCGAGTACTAGACTAATAAAATATAGTTGACCAGTGGTTTCTAATTGTTTTCTATCTGGGGTAAGCACATTATATAAACTATTTCTCACTGTTCTTTTTCATGATTTTATGTTTTCCTAGCATTGTGGCCTGAAGTTTCCAGGCAATTAATAAAGCAGTGAGACTTGCCTACTGTGTCAGTGGTAAAAACCATGGATTAAAAGCTTGTTATTAATTAACTATAACCAAAATCACAGTGCTCTAAGCTAACAAACTAAAGCAGTGGAACCTAAGATACTATAAATAAACCATATTCTTCCTGGAAATCTCGAATGTACTTCCCGGTAACTAGTTATGTATACTATTAAAGGGTTAAATGTAGTAAGTCATCGTTAAGTAATATGTTCTACGAGACATAATGTGTACTAAACTTTATTCTTTAGTAATCATTCGATTTGTCAAAAACTAGTTGATTTCTTTTAAACAGAAAAATACAACATCATGCCCTCAAATGCCTTGGTACGACCGAGGGTAGTGAGAGTCAGCTATCTCTCTCGAAATGCTCTCAAATGGCCACGCGTATACAGCTACTACCAGGGAAGTCCTGCTCACTACCTTCTCGTAGCGAGGGTGTTGCTTACGAAATTGAGAGGACGAAAAGCGAATTTCAGGCGATTTAACCAGGTTGGTGGATATTGAAGATCCATCTAGGAGAGTTGGAAAACACTAATTCAAAACCAATGGTTCACATGGGCTCCAGGATCCTGAAGGAACAAATGATGTATGAACCAATTATTGGTCACTGGCTACCATAGGACTGCATCTCCTGACGTTGCTCTACTGCCTTGTGGATCAGACCTTTAGGTCAAACGCTTCGGGTGTGGCTCCCTAATAAAACCCCGTGCTTCGATCTGGGCACTCGGACAGTATCACATCCCACATACGAATCAACTGACTTGTATGGTGCATTTGTATTCAGTGCCTCTTTGTATCAATATTTATATATTCAAATAAATGAATAAATATAATAAACACTTACCCTAAAATATTTTACTCTTAAAAAATGTAACCGTAGTAAATTCTCCAATTGTAAATCCGGTTTTGATCGATTGATAAAAACAACTTCAACATCTGAACGTTGTCTGTCTTCATGTAAAAAATCATTTAAAAATGTTCTTACAGAATCTGTTGTTATATCACCACATACAACAATATGTGATTTTCCTTCGGGTTTTTGATAAACACCAGAATATTTACTTACATTAAAAAACATATCAACTATTTCTGGAATAGCACTAGCAAATGTAGCCAAAGCGAATAGAATAAACAATGAAATAAAAACTCTACCCATATAAGTTTGTGGTACAATATCCCCATACCCAACAGTTGACATTGTTACAATAATATAATATAATGAAGCTGTATATGGTAAATGTTGGCTAACATTATATGTATTAGATCCAAAAAAATTTCCAGTATTCTCAAATAAACTAAAACATCCAGCACCAGCAAACCATATGGATATAAATAATGTACACAATTGACACATACGTAAACTAGATGCAGATTTTATCACATTCAAATTGTTCAATACTTCAGGTAGATTACATAGACGAAAAATACGTACAAAACGAAATCCAATCCATGTTCTTTTAATGAAAAATCCAATTATTGTTGGAGGAACAGTTAAATAATCTAATATAGAATACCATTCAATCCAAAATAATAAAACATCACTGGATGCAATTAATCGAACTATGAAATGTAATAGAAAGAAAATATTCATTGTAAAATCTAATAAACGAAATCGTCGACCTTTATGACCACATTTTTCAATTTCTGATGGCCACATTGTTGCTTCATAAGCATATATACCAAAAGATGTTAAACTGAATATCATTGATAAGGCAATAAATATTCTACCAGGCATCCAATCATAACTGACAAGTCGAATAGCCCAAGAACGACCTTCAATAAAAATTTGTTGAATAGATGTCCAACACTGAAAACAGCATTTCTTAGAATTATGTTTCTTATATATTTCAGATCCAGTTGAACCAATCCAATTTCCATCATCATTTGTTTCTGTTTTAGTATCTTTTTGAAGTAAATGAAATTCATTTCCATCTTTATTTCGATGAGATAGATTAGTATGTTGACTAGTTGAATGAATTGACTGTTTACTTTTTAAATACATTATAATATGCATTATTATTCTATATGTAATGATAATAAATATTCCACCAAAAAAGCATCCAACTGATATAAGAAAGAATACACCCCATAAACGTTTCTCCATACATTTTTCTAAATGTTGATGATCGTCATTGAGATGAGCTATTTGTTTTT